ATTCCTGGCTGTTAAAAAAAAAAAAAAAAAAAAAAAAAAGGGAGAGAGGAAAACAACATATTTACAGAAAGGGACTATGGAGCAACAACTATGAAACAGACCAGAGTAAGTGAGAGGTGATGGGGCCCAGTGTCCAAGCGAAGAGGAGATGTATCCAGAGCAGAGACCCCTCATCCATGTTTACTAGGGAGAAGGCAGAGTGAATGGGCACTCATGCCAGGGGGTTGACAGACTTGGTGGGGATGGGGGAGATAACTTAGTGCTTGCTTATTGCTTCTATTTCCTGGAGGCATATAAGGCCTGGCCAGCAGCGGAAATGGAAGATTAGAATGGGAGCTAGAGGTTTTGGGAGGGGAGAAAGAGAGATACAGTCATCTTTGAGAATAGTGTTAAAGTTTTAGGAAAACGTAGCATTTTTTGGAGGTGCTGAGTTCCCACACGAGGTTGTGGTCAGAAGTCTCCATTGAAACCATTCAATCCAGGTGCTCTGTAATAGGTGCCACATGGAGAGCTGGGCTTAACTGGAGTTAGGGTCTTGCCTGGTGAGTAACTACAGAAGCACTGAAAGGCAAGGGATGGAGGATATCTACAACCAGCAATTGCATGTGATCTATGGAGTCCAAGATGGGAAAGGATGAGAGGATGTGAAGGGGGTGATGGATGGTGGAATGGTGCTGGGTTAACAGATGGGATTGCTGGAGTGGGAGGCAGAGTGAGTGAGCTGGATAGATAGGAGATGATGCAGCTCTTGATATAGGAAAGGTCTAGGGTGTGAGCACTCATGTGGGTGGGTTCAATGGGTGGAGAAAAAGATGGTTAGAAGCAAGGAAGTTAAGGAACTGAGAGGTCAAGGTGTTGGATGTGAAATCATCAAGAATGATAATAAGCGTAATAATCAAAAGATACATTGAGCCAAGGGCTGAGATGGTCCATGAGTGAGAGGAGATAAAGAGATCTTATTTGTGTCTCAGACTCAGCCCTGTCTGAAACCTGCTCCTCCCCTGGGTAAATGCACCACCACCCAGAGCCAGAAACTTGGGCGTCACTTTGATTTCTGTCTCAAACTGATTCCCCACACCCAATCAACCATCAAATCTTTTTGATTCTATCTTGCAAACATTTCTTAAACCCAGCTACTTCTTTCCATTCCCACTGTGTACACCCTAGTTTGGGCCACTGTTTCTCAAATGGATTATTAGTGTCAGTTCCCAAATAGGTAGCCATCCCTGCTCTGGCTCCTTTCTCTGCGCTGTAACCACAGATACTGCAAATTAGACCATGTTACTTCTGTGCTAAATCTCTACACTGACTTTTCATTGTCTTTAGGGTAAAGTCCAAAACCATTAACAGGGTTTTACAAAAAAAGCCCTGCATGACCTAGTTACTCTCTTCTTCAGCCTGACCCCTCACTTGGTTGACTCTCCCTTTTTAGGTCTTTTATGTTCTGGCCCTTCTGCCTGGAATCCCCTCCCTGTGTTGCTTGGCAAAATCCTCCTCTTTCTTTAGGTGTCAGCTTAAGAAATCTCAGGGAATTTTTTCCTGGATGCCTGGATGTTCTGGATGTTGGATTCACCTTCCCCTGCTCCTAGCACCCCATGCTTCCCTAGGACACCAGGATTTTAGAAGCCTTTCTTTTCATAAAATGGAAGCTCCATGAAGTCAGGGATTGTGTTTGATTCTCCCCAGGTGTGTCCTCAGCACCTAGCTTGGGGCCTATCACATAAAAGTGGACAATAAATACTTGTTGATTTGAATTAAGTGGAAGATTCTAGAAGTGTAGCAGTTCTGAGTGAAGACGAAGTCTGGGGTGTGGTCCTGTGAGTATATAGCTAAATGGAGTGGAGGAGGAGGTCATGAGAGAATAGGAGTGCATAGAATTAAAAGGACAGAGTCATACACAGGTGGTCACCATGACCTCGGGCTGTGAGAGAATACCAGAAGACCAAGTCATGTGCCCAAATCTCTCTCTCTCTCTCTCTCTCTCTCTCTCTCTCTCTCTCTCTCTCTCTCTCTCTCTCTCATTCATTGGAGTGACATTGGTTAATAGGATCGTGTAGGTTTCAAATCTTTAAGGGAATGAGAAGTAGGTGGCAGCAATGTGGGCCAGCAGAAGATGGAAGAGAAAGATGGCAGGGGCCTAAGCTAAACAAAGAGTTTTCAAGAAGGTGGAGGTAGAAAGGTCTGAGAGTGGTAATGAGGGCAGTATCAGGGTCTGGAGAGTGTGGGTGGGATGAAGATAAGAGTAAGATGACTGAAATGTTATCCAGGCCCTTCTGGAGCCCTCAGGGTGATCAGATAGTGTTCCATCCTTGTTTGGGTCAATGGCCCAGAACTTGAAACCTCTGGGAACACTACACATGAAGAGGACTGCCATAAAAGTTGTCAGGTCCCAGGATGCTCTCCCAGAAGCAGCCCCTGGAATGGGAAATCTGGGATCTCAGAGGGAGTTGACTATGGTTAGTCCACTGGTCTGCACATGGGAACTACCTTGGTCTGAGAAGTGTGGAGGTTACCTGGTTTTGAACTGGTTTTTCTTTGGAGGTAGAGTTGCCCTTGATTTCTGAAGTTCAGTAGATGGTATTGGGCACCCTTCCCATACCTCTGTTCTGAGGACACCCATTCTCCAGCTGCTGTGAATGTTGGTCACTCATGGCACATGCCCAGGGTGAATTGATCTTGACTGGGCAGGAGCCACCACCTCCTTCTGCCCTCCTGTCCTCAAGGTGACTTTGTAGCCAATCACGAACTGATTTGAAAGTTTCAAAGCCTGATGCCTTTGCCTTCAGTGGGGACAGCTCTATAGTGGGCTTTATGATCCAAAGGTCCCTTACTCCATAAGGCTCAGGCCAAGGCTAAGCTTCCACGAGCACATACCCTGCTCAGCTCTGCCCCTTCCCTATCCCGCTTCCCTTGCTCCTTCCTTCACATGCACACAAACTCCTGTTGCTGGCTCTGCTTCCCAGGACCCTGATCTTGTCCCATAATCCGGGTTGAACATGGAAGCTCTCTATTTGACCACAGGGGCCACAGCCTCCATAGACTCATCCCAGACTCTGTGTGGATTTAGGTCTCCTCCATCCCTAGGCCGAAGTTTCCTCACCTATGAATGAGAACTTTAGGCTGGCCTTAGTTAGTAAAACAACAACACAACATACATACAAACAAATTAAGAGAAAACACTTTGCCGAACTTTCTGGGTGAGGTGTGGTAGACGATTCAGATGAGCAAGATCCAGTTCTTTCCGCCACACAGCTCACAGCCCATTTACTCAGTTCACAAGCATTTATTGGAGGCAGCCGGGCCTAGATGACTCAGCGGCCTGCCCTGCCCTGCCCGTAAAGGGCTCACAGACTGATGGAGAGAAACGACTGCTCCAATTTGGGGAAAATAACAGAGGCAGAAGCTAGACTGGTGCTTGGAGAAGGTGGTAAAGGCTTTCTCTGAGGTTCTAGGAAGTATCCGAGAGGAGGGAGAAAGGGCATTTCAGGCAGAGGGAACAGCATGTCTGTAGGCACAAGGCATAACACAGCATGCTGTGTCTGGTTGGGGAACCAGGAGCCCTTTGGTATTATTGATGGGTACAAGGAGGGAGGAAGCAGGTGAGGTTGGGGAGGCCAGGGGGGGTCCAGGTTTAGGGAAATGGTGGGTGGTGGTAGAAGATTTTTTTTACTTATTTATTTAAAATATATTTTTATTGATTTCAGAAAGGAAGAGAGAGAGATAGGAACATCAACAATGAGAGAGAATTATTGATTGGCTGCCTCCTGCATGCCCCCTATTGAGGTTGACCCGCAAACCTGGGCATGTGCCCTTGAACGGAATTGAACCTGGGACCCTTCAGTCTGCAGGCTGATGCTCTATCCACTGAGCAAAACCAGCTAGGGCATATTTTATTTTATTTATTTTATTCTTTCCATCACCATTTATCCCCTCTATGCCCTCTTTTTCTTCCACCCTAGAATTTTTAATGCAGAAGGAACAACATGGTCAGATTCCTATACAGAAAAACCACTCTGTCCTTATAGTGGAGGGCAGAGGGGAGGGGCCCAGTGAGATGTTAAGACTGTGGGTTGGGAAAAGAGGGGCAGACTCAGGGGGCATTGCAGGGCTGCAACAGTGGGATTTGGTGCTGCATTGGGATGTGGGGTGTGAGGGGTTGAGGAGATGGGAGGGGATGAGGATGGCAGTCTAGCTCCTGGCTTGGACAACTGGCAGTGCCCTTCACGGGGTGTGGCATGGTCTATGAGGAGGGCAGGTTTGGGACCTGCTGAGGGGAGATGCCCCGGGGCCTCCTGGAGGGTCGCCCTGTGGGCGGTTGGTGGGCGCTCTGGGATTCAGGCAGGTCCAGGCTGGAGGTGAGGTTTTGGAAGTTGCCAAGGTCTGAGTAGTGAGGTGGGGGTGGAGGAGAATGAGGGAATGTGTATCCAGGAAAGAGAAGGAAAACTCCTCAGACTGGAGGATCTGTGAGGGACCCTTTGGCTTGGATGCTCTCAATGGGCTTCTGGCCTGTGGGGATATGCCTCCTCAACACCCTGGCAGATTCTCATCCTGGACTTGCTCTCAGCACCATCCACTTCCACTAGACCTCCCCTCCTCCCCTCAGAGGGCACTCACCCACCCGGGACCTGTGCTGGGAGAGTCAGGGAGGCTGGATGGGGAGGCAGTGGCCTCCTGAGCATCACACATTCATCTGAAGAACGCTCGCTGAGAACTGACCTGTGCTGGACCCAGGGTCTCTTGGGGTCCCTTTCCTGCCTGGCCAGTTGGTTACAGAGTCCAGAAACCCCTGGATACGTCTCTGCCTTTGGTATTCCCCACCATGTCCTGAGGGCACACTTCGTATATGTGTGTTTGTGTATGTGTGTGTGTGTGGTGATGGCTGAACCAGGATCTGATGTTCCCAGGCTCAGGTGCCCATTGTGTGGTCCTGGCCTCCTCTCCAAGGTAGTTGTGACCCCCTCTGCTCTCTACTCATCACTCCCCACCTGGTCTGCAAGGTGCTGAGAAAAATCACATTTATTAAGGGTTTTGACATCCCCTATTGCCATATATCAAATGCCTGCCATGAAACCTTCTTCCCCTGGGGCTCAGGGCCCTGAGGCAGCACTGCCCCCCCAGGGCTGGCCCCTGGCTCGGCTTCCTGAGCCCCAACAGCCCCCTTCCTCGCATGCCTCACTGCATCAAGTGCCACTGCCCTGTGTGGCCTCGGGGAGCAGGTGGGGGACGTGGTGGTCCCTGTTGCCAACCTCACAGGTCACGGGTACCCACCTGCATCCACCACGGCCGAGCTGGCCTTCATTAGGACAGAGTTCCCATCTTGGGGGTGGTCTCCCTGGGAGAGGGCATAAGGGGGGCACGAATCGTGCAGGCGACTCCGGCGCCGAGACCGGTGGCGCCTGGGGCCCACAATCTCCAGGCACCTCTTGCCCACCAGGTAGGCAACCTCACTGAGGTTGAGCAGGATGCAGATCACAGCCGTGGCCACCATGAAGTAGGTGAAGACCTTCTTCTCCGTGGGCCGGGATATGTAGCAGTCCACGGTGTGGGGGCAGGGCGGCTGGGAGCAGGCCACCACGCGGGGCATGTCGTAGTGGCCCTCGTAGAGGCGGTGGAAGGTGTAGAGGAAGCCGGAGTCCACGGCGGCCTTGAAGACGAGGCTCAGCAGGTAGGTCCACCAGAGGCCACCCCGCTTCTTGCTTGGGTTGTCGTACAGGGACGGGGCGTTGGGCCCGTGCTTCAGGCGGTACCTCCGCTCCCGCTCCTCCCTGTAGGCCACGTGCATGACCACCAGCAGCGAGGGGCAGGTGACCAGGATGAGCTGCAGGGCCCAGAGGCGCACGTGGGACACGGGGAAGAACTCATCGTAGCACACGTTGGGGCAGCCTGGCTGCTTGGTGTTGCAGATGAAGTCCTTCTGCTCGTCATCCCACACGTCCTCCGCTGCCACCACGAACACCAGCACCCGGAAGATGAACACCACTGACAGCCAGATGCGGCCGAGCGCTGTGGAGTACTTGTTGACCCCACTCAGGAGGCCCTGCAGGGACCCCCAGTTCATGCTGGTGGCTCCTCACGCGCCCACTCAGAGAACCTGGAAAGGGGTGCCCTTTATTAAAGGTGTGATCGGCAGAACTCTTTCACAACCACAGTGTCCTCATGTCCTCACTCGCTATGACTTGGCGGGGCAGGGATTGCCACTGGCCCCATTTCACAGGGAGCGAACTAAGGCCCAGAGAGGCACAGCCGGAAGTGGCGGAGCTGGTCTTGAACTTCTGTCTTCCAGTTCCAAAATCAGGGGATATTTTATTCTATAAAGTAATAGATACATGTGAGGGATAATCGTCCTGCCAACCTCTGACTCCTTTCAGCCCTGTGGGTCACCGACTTCTAGAGAAGCAGGAAGGTGTGGATGAACTGATCCACTCTGCCGTTCGCTCCAGGGCTGGACCAGGGCAAGAGGGAGGGATGTGTGTCTTTATCCTCCAGTTTCCTCCAATAGGAGCCAGGCCCTGAGCCTTCCTATCAACCTCTTAGGCACACACTTGAGTGATATCCATTCTCATTCCTTCTCTCTGGCCCCAGGACATCCCCACCTTGACTTTCCCTCCCAAACCAAACAGGCTCTCTCTTTGGAACAATGGTGGCTTGGCATCATCCTGGCCCACCCAGTCCCCACCCTCTGGGTGCTGGTCCCGTTTGCTGACTGTCCTGACCACAGTGGGTTCCTCTGGAATTACTACCATTGTGGCTTTAGGGGAGGGACTGGGGCAGGGACAGAGGCGGGATTCTGGCACTGTCCTCCCCCCATTTACCTTTTCTCTCATGGTCATCCCCTTCTGCATTTGCTTAGTGGCTGTTTGCTAGCCATATCTCCTATTATTTCCACTCAGGTCCCTGTCCTGGGTGCTCCATCCTCCACATCCCCTAATTGGAGTATCATCATGTTCCATCTCTGACCCAGTCCCTCCTCTGTCTGTCTCAGATCTCAGTGTCTTCAGACCTCATGCCTTTGAGACATTTTCTGAGCATCCTCCTTCTCTCATGGACACTCAGATGGTCTATTTAATATCTTCTATGCCAGACTACCGTTCTGGAGGGCAGCTCCGTGTCTTATCATCTCTGTATCCACAGGACTCAGCACTGGGCCTGGCCCAGTGAACACACAATGTTTGCTAAACCAAATAGGAACACCACATCTTCCTGAGTCTCTCCTCTGGTCCTCTGTTCTCTATTCAGTCTGGAAGGACATTCATTCCCCTCTTTGGGGCTTCCCTGTTTTCCCCCCAGGGATTCTCAGTCCCCTCTGCTTTTCCCTGGAGCCCAGCCCACAACCAAGGTTCCCTGGGATCCTCAGACCTGTTGGCCTCTGTTTCCCAGCCCAGCCTCCTGCCCAATTTGGTCCTCACCTCCCTTGGGTCCCGAAGCTTCTCTCCAGTCCCTGGGCTGGCCCGTCTGCCTACGGGCCTCCTAGAGGCAGCTTTTGTTCTTTACTGCCCTGCTGGGTGGGGCTTTCTGAGCCAATGAGCCAAGGAGAGTAAGCGGGTGGGCAGGCAGGCTGGCGGACTTCCCCGGGCACATATTCAGAGCAAACACCTGTGGCTCTTTTCTTCTGGCCCACGCCTTCCCCAGCCTGGCTGGGCATGGCTGGGTCGAGCTACCTGGTCTGGCAGGTATGTGGGTGAGACTGCAGTGAGGAGCGGGGGTGTGTGTGGCGGGAAGGAGGGGAAGTATGGGGGTCTGGAGCAGGAGCCTGCCTGGTATCCTCATTCTCCAGACCCAGGCCAGAAACAATGGCATTGCTCCTGTCCACTTTTTGTTGCTTTGTTGCCCCCTGTCCCCAGGCCTCCCTCCTGCCCCTTTCTCTGGAAGGCTGGTTCTGAAGTCCTCAGCAGTTGACATTTATGGAAAGGGGCAATCTTAATTCAGCCTCCTACCGTGGTGGGGCATTTCTAGGGACTAGAGCTTGGGCTGCTGGTAAGGTGTGTAGGGATGGGAGGGGCTGGCTGTGTTCTAAAAGAGGGGACCTACTGCCCTGGTGGAGACAAGGAGTGCAGGTGGGCGGCATGACATGCCCCAGATATCAGTCCTGTGGCCAGGCCTCCGGGGAAGCTGGAGTGGACCCAGTGGGACCCAGTGGGAGTGCAGAGGGGCCTCAGGGCAGTGAAGGTTAATGTGTAGCCAGGGAGGGGCTCTGCCGCATTTCCCACAAGCATTTTATCCAGCGCTCCCTAATACCAATGATTAACATTTATGTGGCCTTTTACAGCCGGCTAAGCCCATGCACAACCATGAGCTCATCAGTCCTCTGAACAGCCCCACAGGTGCATTCACCCATTTGGACAGGAGCCGCAGTCCCTTTCCCAGAGTCCCGATGAAACCTGGGCTGGAATGCAAGCCTTCTGATGCCAGTCCTGAACTTCGGCTGCCCCACGCCGCTCCCCAGGCTCTAAGATGCTTGCTCTTTGCAGGCCTGACACTGCAACAGGAGCAGGCAGCATGCCCCCTAGGAGTGCTGGGCACCCTTGCTGGGGGAGAGCATGGCCCCCATCTGGCTGGACCAAGGGCAGAGAGAGTGACCGAATGACCCAATAAGGGTCACAAAGGCCGAGGAAGCAAAGGGCACCTTGAATCAGCGGAGGAGTGAACTTTTTAAAAATTTATTTAATATTTTATTGATTTTTTTACAGAGAGGAAGAGAGAGGGATAGAGAGTTAGAAACATCGATGAGAGAGAATCATCAATAAGCTGCTTCTTGCACACCCCCTACTGCACATGTGCCCGCAACCAAGGTACATGCCCTTGACCGGAATCGAACCCAGGACCCTTCAGTCCGCAGGCTGATGCTCTATCCACTGAGCCAAACCGATTTCGGCAGGAGGAGTGGACTTTTATTAATCCCTAGCCATGGGTCCCACACACGAAAGTGGGTTGCACATCTGTTCTCTAATGAAACTCTCCCTCATAGCAACCATCCAATGAGGTGGCGCCACCATCTCCATTTTACACCAAAGGAAACGGAAGTGCCCAAGGCCACACAGCTGGGCAGGTGGCGGGAGCTCCCTTCCCACCGCCAAGGCTGCACCCGTGACAGATGCTGGGCCCACCCGGCCAGCCCAGCGCAGGCAGCCCCTCACAGGATGGTTTTCTTCACATAGTCCCGAGCGAGGTCTGGTAAGAGAGGAGGGGGAGCGTCTGAGCCCAGGAAGATGAGGTCCCCGGACAGGAGGTCCTGCTGTTTGCAGGGAGAGGCGCCAGCCATCCTGGCTCTCCTTGCAGCCATGCACTCCCGGCACCTCTTGCTCACCAGGTAGGCCAGCTCCACGAGGTTGAGCAGGATGCATACGGCGGCTGTGACGACCATGAAGAGGGTGAAAATGTTCTTCTCCGAGGGCTTGGAGATGAAGCAGTCCACGATGTTGGGACAGGGGGCCGCGTGGCACTTGACCACCGGGGGTAGGGTGTATCTGGGGTAGAATGAGTGGAACACGTAGAGGAAGGTGATGTCTATGCCGGCCTTGAACACCAGGCTGAAGACATAAGTCCACCAGAGCCCACCCCGCTTCTTGCCGGGGTTCTGGTAGAGGCGCCCGCCCTCCTCCCCCACTGCCTCCTGGTGCTTCTTCTCCCGCGCCTCCCGGTAGGCCACGTGCATGACCACCAGCAGTGAGGGGCACGTGACAAGGATGAGCTGCAGGGCCCAGAGGCGCACGTGGGACACGGGGAAGAACTCGTCAAAGCAGACGTTGGAGCAGCCTGGCTGGCGGGTGTTGCAGTCGAAATCCTTGTGGTCATCACTCCACACACGCTCCGCTGTCACCAAGTACACCAGCACCCGGAAGATGAAGACCAGGGACAGCCAGATGCGCCCGAAGGCCGTGGAGTACTTGTTGACCCCACTTAGGAGCGACTCGAAGATCCCCCAGTTCATGGTGGATCCAGGTGTCGGCTGCTGCTGCTGCTGCTGCTGCTGGGGAATGATAGTAAGAGTCCCCCACATTTATCAAGTAGTCACTGGGAGCACTTTAGAGAAACATGTCATCGTCTCTAATCCTCGCAGCCCCAGAGGAGCTAGGTTCTATCACTGAGCCTATTTTACAGATGGAGGAAACTGAGGTTTAGAGGGGTGATACAAGGTTACACAACTATTAGGTGCAGAGCTGGGATTGGAGCCTAAGTAGTTAAGTAAAGAACCCAACTCTTATCCATAAAAGTGGGTGAAGGCGAGTCCAGGGAGCCCCTCAGTCCTCTCAGGGCTTGTGGCTCTGGCCTTGCAATCCTGCAGAGCCAAGGCTTACGTAGACGGGACATTCTGCCTTCTCCCTCTGCTCCAGCCCTGGCCCTCCTCCTCAGGGGGGTGAGCCTTGGGAAGACTTCTCTCCTTTCTGGGCACTGCTCACTGCTCTTAGGCAGCCCCTCCCCAGGGAACCTGCTCTTTGCCTTTTCTTTGACTTGGTGGATTAGGTTGGAGAGGAGGCTGGAAACTTGCCCACAAACTTCCACCTGGTCTAACACTCAGTTGAATTATCTAGAACGCATCCTGCTCAGGTGCAACTCACCTGAAGCAAGGCCAATGGCAATCCAGCTGAAAGATAAGATAGGGGTCAACGGCTCTCTTTATACAATAAACTTTCTCGAGTAGCCTGGTAATGCAGTGTTTACCAAACTGGTGTTCCATGGAACCCTATCCCGTAGGCTGGCTATTGGAGTAGTGAGAGAAAATGAACCGGTGTTCAAGAAAGGAAGGCAAGCCAAAACTGGTTTGGCTCAGTGGATAGAGCATCAGCCTGCGGACTGAAGGGTCCTGGGTTCGATTCCGGTCAAGGGCATGTACCTTGGTTGTGGGCACATCCCCAGTAGGGGGCGTGCAAGAGGCAGCTGATCAATGTTTCTCTCTCATCAATGTTTCTAACTCTCTCTCCCTTTCTCTCTGCAAAAAGTCAATAAAATATATTAAAAATAAATAAATAAAGATTACAACTAACATTTATTTAATGTTTAAAAAAAAAAAGAAAAAAAAGAAAAGAAAGGAAGGCGATCATTGTGAAATAGGCCCCTTTTTGTGACCAGGCGAATGGACTCACAGGGTGAATCTCCCACAGGGGGACAGAATATACAGTATTGTCCAGACTCCTTTGACCACAGAATCCATTTTCATCATCCTATGGAATAGCCTTATCAAGACACCAAAATGGGAGATGCTGCTGACGTTACTCCTGCTGGCGAGTCTGGTGTGCTAGACACAGGACTCAGGTTTACCTCCATGTAAGGAATGGGACTGCTGTTCAGAGTGACGGGCACCCACTTTCTCTCTTGGAATTCTTCTGGCTGGTACTTCCCGGGAGAGGCCAGGCACTAGTCCCACCCTGCCGGTCCCCAGGACCTAGGGAGCTTGTCCGCACAGCCTCTCTCTTTAAGGGGCTCCTGATGCCCTGCTGACTGCTGGTCTCAGCTGAAGGTCACCAGGCTGTCTGACCCCTAGGACCTGCAGCAGTCAAGCAGGGTAATGGTGAGAGCCAATACTTGTTGGGTGTTTATGCGGCACCAGGCTCTGTTCTGAGCCTTTTGCATGAATCAATGCAGCAGCAACTATAGGAAAGGGTATGATACTTTTTATTCCCAATTTCTGGATGAGGAAAGTGGAGCACAGCGAGGTTAACTCATCTGCTCACAGTTATACGGCTGGTAAGTGGCAGAACTGGGATCGGAACCCAGGCAGGCTGGCTCCAGAACCCACACTCTGGGGCTAGGCCCCTTTCCTGGAAAGCTGCCTGGGTGTCTGGTCTGTGCCCACTCCCTCCTCTACCAGGTAGGTCCTGGCTGAGGGAAGCTGGGGTGTCTGCTTTCTACCCTCTCCACTGTTCTGTCTCCACCCCCTTCACCAGGAAGTGGGGCCCCTGTTGTGAATCATCAGCTAGGCTTTGCTCAGTCCTGCTAAGGGGGTGGAACTCCTGGCAGCTTCTCAGGGAATAACTAGAAGGCTCCAGCCCTGAATCCCCAGAGGCTCTAGGCCCAGCCCATGTCGGGTGGGGCAGGACAGGGCCGTGCAGGCCCAGGCAGCACTGCTCTGCTTGCCCAGCTCCCGATTTCCCTGTGAGCACCTCTCCATTCAATCCCTGCCTCCCACCTCGGCTCAGTCGGGAAAATCCCAGAGCAGAGCAGGGAGGGGCCCTTTATTTCTCCACCATCAGGACCCAGGGTGGCGGGTAAGTCCAGGCCACCTTCCTCAACTCTCCCCCAGTGAGGTTTCCGTCTGCCAGGTGTACCAAGAGACAGGGTACATTTGGGTACAGATGACCTTACCTGAGTGGCTACTCCTCAGGGCTCTCCGGCGACTGGCTCCTGACAGCCAGCAGTGGACTCAGCAGGCAGCCGGAACTCATGTCAGAACCAGAGAGGCGTGCTTGGGGAAGCCCATTCCTGGGATGGAACCCGAGAGAGTGCTGCAGTTTGGGTGTGGCGCCAGCCTAGGAAGGGGAGGAGCTGCCCTTAGCAGGGCGATTGGCCAGGCTCCACCCTTCCCAGGCTGCCTCCGAAGTGGCCCAGAAACGTAGGTATTCACTCTTCCCAGGGTGCCCAGCCCGGAATCCTGGCATCCTCTCAGGAGAGAACCACAGGTCCAATCTGACCCCCTGTTTGTCCTCCCATCCCAGGCCTTGTGTGGGAGTAACCTAGAAATTTCTGAAAATTCCCCTCTGTTACTTCTTGGTCTCCAGACTCTCCTCTTTCTCTGGTTGCTTCTCTGTGGCCTTCCATTCCCACAGCTTCAGTTACCTTTGGAAATGCTATGACTCCCAGATCTGTCTCCAACCTAACTGCCTTTGCACCACCAATTGTCCCCACTTGAATGTCCTTCTCTTACCTTCCTTCCTTCCTTCCTTCCTTCCTTCCTTCCTTCCTTCCTCCCTCCCTTCCTTTCTTCCTTCCTCCCTTCCTTCCTCCCTTCCTTCCTTCTTTCCTTCCTTCCTTCCAGTCTGCAGACCGATGCTCTATCCACTGAGCCAAACTGGTTTCGGCTCTTTCTTGTTTTAAAATAAATATACTTTTATTGAGTTCAGAGAGGAAGGGAGAGGGAGAGAGAGATAGAAACATCAATGATACGAATCATTGGCTGCATGCCCCCTACTGGGGATCGACCCTGCAACTCAGACATGTGCCGTTGACTGGAATCCAATTTGGAACCCTTCAGATGTTTCTGACCCCACACTCCTGCATCTGGCCCCACACCCCTGCATCTGGGGTCTCATACTGCTGGATCTGAAACTCACTTCTGTTACTTTTAGAGCTGGGCAATCGCCCTGTTTCTCTGCTGTGTGCTGAGACATGTGCCATGAGGGGTGTCCTGAGAAGACGCCGAGTGTGATGCAGGGCAAACTTGATGGGTTGGGGTTCTTATTGCCCCTGCCCGCAGAGGGCAGTGATGGCACAGAGCCTGGCATAGAGGAAGCTTTCCCGCGGCTGTCTCTGAGGTATGTAAGCTGTCCACACACCTGACATGGGGTAGGCATTCACAAGAAAACATCTTTCTCCCCCTTACCCTAGTCCTATGCCCTTTTTCTCTGAGACACAGGGAGGCAGAGCAGGGAGGGGGAGACAGATGTCCTCATCAGAAAAAATCTCATGTGGATGGATGCTGTCTTTGGGTTAAAAAGGCAAAACCTGGGCCAGGCAGTGACTGTTGGAGAGATGGAGAGGGCAGGCAGGGAGCACCTGGGAGTGTTTCTCATTAGTGCGTAGACATGGCCTGTTGGCCTAATTAACTCTAAGATGCCCTTTATCAGCAGGTCACACGGGGCCAGCATTCAATGGACAGTGTGTCTAAGATCCACAAACACTGCAGGTCCCCAACCAGCACAACGCAGTCCCACGTGTGCACATTGTTACACACAGGCCACTTACAGGCTCGGTGTTGCACACACATGGGGCAGTGTTCTTTGTTTTTGTTTTACATTTATTTCTCGATTTATTTTTTAGAGAAAGGGAGGAAGGGAAGAGAGAAACATTGATTTGTTGTCCCATTTATTTATGCATTCATTGGTTGTCTCTTGCTTATGTCCTAACAAGGGATTGAACTCACAATCTTGGCATATTGAGACGATGCTCGAACCAACTGAGCCATCTGGCCAGGGCTAGTGCTTTGTTTCGTTCACTGCTGTACCCCGGAGCCTAGAATGGTGCCTGGTAGCAAGTTGGGTCTCCATGTATGTTTGTCGAATGAATGACGTAAAAAATGCACACACCCTACAGAGAGAGTCACACACATCTATCCCCCTTCCCATCTTCCCATCACACTGTTGCCCAGTACAGGGGAGAGGAGACGTAGGAATGGGTCAGCTACAACACTGTGAGATGTGCTCTAAGAAACATGTCACAGAGGAGGGAGTGTCAAGCTCTGCTAGTGGGGAGCCAGACCAGTGACACTGAAGGTGGGTCTTGAAGGATGTGCAGGAGATCACCCGAAGGAGCTGAGGGGGAGAGGTGTTTGAGGCAGTGGGCACACATGTGCAGAGGACTCTGGGAAAGACAGACAGTCAAAGAGCTTTTGCGTGTGGGCCAGCTGGGGAGCGATGAGGGCACCAAAAGGCAAGGTGCCTGGAAGGTCAGCAAGGACCTTCTTAATCATTGAAGATCCGGAACACTCTGCTAAGGAACTTGGATTTTTCTCTGTGCAGAGGAGGCCGGGGGGAGCCGCTGGATTGGTGGTTGATTCTCACGATTCTCCGTAGTTATGTTGTGTGAAGTCACCACGAACACTCAATCAGGAAACACTGAAGTTGGCCAGTGGGGGGAAATACAGGGTTAAGTTCTTGCGAGCCTCTGGTTGCAGTATTTTCACCAACCTGAACAGCATATAACTTTGTTTTATATATGTTTCTATTTCAAGACACCTTATCTCACATATATTGTTGAATCATTGACCCTGAACTCAATGGCCAACAGCACTCTGACTGGCGCCTGAACAAAGCTCACCTCACGCACGTATCTCTCCCCATGAGGCACATCACGGGCTTCCTGAACTTAGAACCGCTGGGTGGCACTGCGTGACCACGATGGTTGGGGGCCAGTCAAATAGCAAAACCACTTTCTAAAAGCACAAAAATGTGAAAAAGTGCCAAAAAATTGATCTCAGCTAGAACATTTGTTTGCAGTACGAGAGCTCAGACGAGAGGTCAGAGTGTTGCCTTGTTCGGTCTTAGCTGGGAATGTGCATGTCGGCAGCCTCAGGATTTTCACTGCGCTGTGTGTGCCCATGAATGACTGCGAAAGCACCGTGAGTATTGATGTAGGGTTAAACAAATACATCTTACTGAGTATACAAACACATAAATATTGAAGTCCTGAATGAGGACCATTGAATGTTTAGAAAGCTCCCTCTGTTTGAGAGAGGAGGCATGCGAGATCACGAAAAAAAGTTTCTGCAATGATTTGGGCAGGAGATGAGCCAGAAATGATTGGGAAAGTGGATAATTACAACTGGTGGTGTTTGGGGTCTGACTGGTTGTAGAGGGGAGGTAGGAGGAAGACCCAGGATGGTTCCTAGTTTGCTATATTGGTGATTTGGCAGGTGGTGGGTGTATTGATAGAAGTAAGGAATATAGGAGGAAAAGATGTTTGTTCTTAAAATATATTTTTATTGATTTCGGAAAGGAGAGAGAGAGAGAGAGAGAGAAAGAGAAATATAAATGATGAGAGAGAACCACTGACTGGCTGCCTCCTGCTCACCCCTCACTGGGGATCGAGTGTGCAACCCAGGCTCGTGCCCTTGTTTGGAATCGAACCTGGGACCCTTTAGTCCACAGGTAGATGCTCTATCCACTGAGCCAAGCCAGCTAGGGTGGAAAAGCTGGTTTTTGAGGGGATAGGGTAAGGTGATGCTTAGGTTTTTCCCAGATGTTTGGGAGTTGGTAGGGTCAGTGTCTTATGTGCTGAGTGAGGGTGTGGAGGACAGCCACATGGACTATCCACAGCCAGTGTTGGTAGGAATGGCTGGAATCCTCAGCCCCAAAGAGGGTGGTGAGTGTCATTGGAATGGACAAAGTAGCTTTGGGAGAGTGCGCTGAGTGAGAAGAGAGTCCAGGAGGAGCATTGACATTTTACGAAGCAGACAAGAAAGAGTTGCCTTCAGAGGAGAAAGAATAGCCAGGGATAAAGAAACGAGGGTAGGCAGGTAAGGGGAGAAAGTCATGAAAGAGCCACCCAAGGAAACCCACCTGCAGTGAGGCCAGTTGAGGTCCCTGGTGACCTTTGCCAGAGTAATTCAGCGGAGTGGTGGGGACAGAGCTTGAGGGCAATGGGCAGAGAAAGTGCAGCTTGCACCTTATCAGGGAGGGAGACAGGCAGGGCAGCGGGCAGAGGGATCAGGGCTGAAGAAGATTTCACTTCTTCCGCTCATCTAAGCATGCCTAGACAAAAGGGAAGAAACCTCTGGACAGCGCCTGTGCTCTCTATGTCCCCTCAATTTCCAGCCAGACATTTCTGACTTTTCATCATCTTCAACATGTTCTGGCTCAGGCTGACTCTTCCCTCAGCTCCCACTACCCTCAGCCTCCTTGCTTCCTGTCTGTTCTCCCTGTTAATGGGTGTGGGACATGGGGGTTGGACTCTTTCTGGAGACCAACACTCTTACCCCTGATGCTCCCTCTGAATATAGCAGGCTAAGGGCAATGTAAGCACTGTGGCCTGGAATTCCACCAGTTCACCATCAAGACTACTGTTCCCAAAAGAGAGAAAACTTTTTGGTCCTGGGGAAGAAGAGAAGTTGGTCTGTGGGGCTGTAACAGTGGGAACTGTAACCTACCCCTCCATTCATTTGAGATTGTTTCTGCAAATGCTGACTCTGGCTAATATATAATTTGCAGATAAACAGCATCCTATCTAATAAAGAGGGAATATGCTAATTGACCACCACACCCTTACAAAAATGGCAGTGCCCACAGTCAATAAGGAGGGAATATGCTAATTGTCTGCCACTCCCTCAAAGATGGTGGTGCCCACAACCACAGGACTCCCAGGGCCAGCCCGAGGTGCAGGCAAGCCTTGGATGGTGGCTGCCCAGCTTCCCAGGGCTACCCGAGGCTCAGGTAACCAGGGCCAGCTGAGGCTTGCTCTGACAGCAGTGGCAGCAGCAGAGGTGTGATGAGGGCATTGCCTTCCCCTGATCGCTGGGTTGCCTTCCATCCCTGAGGGCTCCCAGATTGTGAGAGGGGGGATGCTAGGCTGAGGGACCCCACCCCCCACCCCCCACCCCCACACACACATGCACTGGGCCTCTAGTGTTTGTATAAGAATCCTAGGAACTAACTTCAGAAGATACAGACTCCAACCTTTAGTCACCCCAGTTCCGAGAGATTTGCTGACTTTCATATGTAAAACCAGGATGACAAAGACAGGATGACCACACCAGACCATCACTTGACCAGTTTCGAGGTCCTTATTGAAATAGATGGTGCTGGTTTGCATGTAGAGAAGTTTTC